GATAATTGGCCACTGATGCATCCAACATACAATTTCTAACCTAAGTCTGTTAGACTGTGAAGTCTGTAGCTATAAGAAATAGTGAAGATGTCACTGTGCCTCCTGGATGAGAAGTGGCCCCGGACCATCCCCAGCAGCTGCTGGTAACGGAGTGTGTACAGGTATGGGAGCATGGCATGAAGAAGCATCATGAGCACCTCACTGTTGGCTGCCATGAGCCACACATGAGTTCTGGCATCAATGTGGTGGTACTTGGTTAGCATGATGTCCAGGGAAAACACCACAACTGGGCTAACATACAGCATGATTAACACTGTGTGGATAAGCAGGGTACCCCTGGCCCAGGAATAGCCCTGCACCCAGATGCCTAAAGTCCTAGTCTCTGCATAGATCCTCCATAAGCAGTAGGTGATGAAAGCTATGCATAGAGAGAGAATGCATAAAATTCTATTTTATGGTGACAGTGACCAGCGGGCCATGGCCTGGCTCAGTGCCCAGACTCAGCTGCAGGATGCATGAGGCCCCTTGCTCGAACCTGGCATCCTGCCGCTTGCTAAGCCAAATGAGACATGTGGGGAAGAAGCAGGCCACCAGCCAGATGAGGGCCACCACTTTCTGGGCAGCTTCATAGGACATGAAGAAGTAGCGCAGAGGATAAGCAACTGCCAGGTAGGTGTGCAGCACGGTGGCCATGAAGGACAAGATGGTGCTGGTATAGGCAATGAAGATAGCATCTGTGAGAGCACCACAAGCAATGAATGCAGTCCAGGGCCCAGCTGTCCATGTTGCTGGAGGAGATGAGCATGTGGAAGACAAGTAGGCCAGATCCGAGAGCAGGATGTTAGCCAGCAGCAGGTAGTGGGGCTCTTGCCGAAGTCTCTGGCTCTGCAGGATGGTTACCAGCAGCATGGGGGTCCAAGCCAGTGTGGCTACGGCCAGCAGGCTTGAAGGGAGGAACAGCCAGCGCAGCATGGTGACAGGCACGCTCAGGTCTCCGAGCCTCAGGAAGTGTTGCTGGCTAACTGAGGCATGCAGGGGGGCTCACAGATGAGCTGGTCAGAGGCTGGCCAGGCTGTTGTGTCCAGGCGATAGGGTGTCAACTGATCCCACATGCTTCCTGGCAGGAATGGCACGCTTTCCCACAGGTGGTTGGTTCTGTACTTGCCCAGGGTGTGGATCTCCCCTGCAGGGGTTCTGATGGTGCTACTCCTCTGCAGAAATGCTGTACTTGAGCAGGCCTTGGGAATGACTGTTTAACAAAAACAAAACAACAAAGCGAAATTCTGCTCACACAGGGCTTCCTACACGCATGCATGTCTGCCAGCTATCCTGGCCGCATGTGTATGGGCACACCTAAATGCATCAGCCTGTTGCCATGGTGTACTGGTCACTGATCTCCTGAGAAGTGTCTCCCATCTGGCTTAGGTGAGCAGGCTTTCTGCTCTTGAGATCTGGCTCAGAGACTTTGGGAAGCTCTCTACATTTGTTTGCTTTTCTGTGAAAAGTGAATGCTGCCCATACAGACCTCATGGAAATGTTGCAAAAATCTAGAGGTAACATACTTAGCACAACATGTAGCCTGGGATAAATGCTCAATACATGCTAGCCCTTACCTTACCACACTCTCCAGAGGCTTGGGTCCTCCCTGCTGCACAGTCCCCCTTGTCCTCACTGCTGAAGGGGTGCACTAGATGCTCTATGCTCCTGGGACCTGCTGCCTGTGCCACACCCTCCAGCCCCTCTCTAGCTCCTCTCCAGGCCCCAGCCCAACACCATGCTGAGCCTGGGGAAGGAGCTACCACAGAGCTGGTGCCTTCCCGAGCACAGGCAGAATGTTCTCAGGATCAGAAGGAGACAAAAATTTTATTTATTTTTTATTTTTTATTTTTTTAAAGATTTTATTTATTTATTTGACAGAGAGAGACACGGCGAGAGAGGGGACACAAGCAGGGGGAGTGGGAGAGAGAGAAGCAGGCTTCCTGCGGAGCAGGGAGCCCGATGTGGGGCTCGATCCCAGGACCCTGGGATCATGACCTGAGCCGAAGGCAGACGCTTAACGACTGAGCCACCCAGGCGCCCCGACAAAAATTTTAGACATTGAGCCATAAGAGGCCCAGCCTCATATCATGAATGCCACCTGGACCAGATCTGGCAAGTGACACACCAGAACCCTGCCTCATCCCTCTGACTACACGGGCACTCACCTCTTGCCTCCTTTTTCTTTCTCAGGAGTGTCAGAAGCTGAAGACTTCAGAGGAAACCTGGCTTTGCCTCTTGTCATTAACTGTGGTCTTGGCTAAATTACTCTGCCCTTCTGGGTCTCCGTGGCCCCACTGGAGAGCCATGATGACAACATACCTGCCTTGGAGACCTACATCCAGTTACAAAAGTGCTGACACTCGTTGCCAAGCAACCTCATTCCTAAGTGTGCCCCATAGACTGAGCCTTGCCATCGCCACACATCTGGGGTGCAGGTAAGGTAGTGAGACACAGGGAGTCTGAGTAGCCTAGGGACTATCACACTGGGAGAGACAGGACATCTGGCATGGTAACTCACGAGTTGGACCCCAGACTCATTCTTCTCACTGGAGCATGAGTATCACTCCTTCCTTCAGAGCTGGCAAAAGGCCCTGCTCCCTGGAGAGACCCCTGGCTCCCTCCGGCCCAGGGACCATGCCTTTCTTGAGGGTTTGTTACGGCATCTTCAGGAGAAGCAGCAACAACTGCTCCTGAAGGCAGAATATGGTAAAGAATCTAAGGGTTGTTCTGTGAAAGCACATCTCCTCCTCCAGAGACACTGCAATACCAGAGGGCTGACCCTGCCGCCCTGTCTCCCCTACCAGGGCCTGTGCCCCCCAGAGGGTGTCCCCTCCTACTTCCACTGGCCCCAGGCGCTCTGCAGGTGTACTCTGAGGGGGCAGCCAGCATGCCTAGAGCTGGGCTGGAGGTTAGGCTACCCCTGCTGTCAGCCCAGCAGAACGCCCTTCCCAGCCCCCCACTATCAGTCTTGCCCTCAGCAGGTGCTTGTCTTAGAATACAGATGCCCTGGGTAAGGGGAATCCATTAAACCACAACCCCTCAGTAAAAACATAGCTGAAAGCTCAATCCTTCTGATAACAGTGACAGGCAACAGCTTCAGGGAAATGGCAAGTGAGTAAGTCTCATGATGAATGAGCTGGTAAATGTAATAAGAAGCCTGCCTTGCTGTTGAGAATCATTTTATGACCTACAAAATACATAAAGCAGTCTCTTTACACCATTCCATTTCACCTGCCCAGGAGTCACCCAGGGTGTCCTTCCTGGGAAAATGCAGGCTACTGTGGATGTGGGGTCCCTGGGATCAGCCTTGCTTGGAGGTCAATATGCGCTGACTGCTGTGGGGATGAGCTAGCGCTGACCCATCCTGGTTAGTGGCCCCACCACCTTTAACTGCTCTGTTCCACTCCATTCTCTGCTCTCAGTATGGGTCAGAACATTCCTGACTGAACACATTGTGGGTGCCACAGAAGACCACATGCTGATACAGGGGAAATGAGCAGCACAGGTTAATGAATCTACACATTACTTTGGAAATAAAATCTTCACCATGTGTGGCATTTCAAAAGCCTCGGGATGCTAGGACTGTCCCTGTCCAGGGACCAGCCAGAAGGCACCCTCCAGGAGGCTGGAGATAAATTGAAACTGTGGACAAGCTTGATGCAAACAGATTCAAACTACCAAGTAGATGGGCCCCTAAGCTCTGCCCCCAAGGGAGAGAGAAGCTAACAGTGACCACACACATCCTCATTGTGGGCCATCTACTGCATACAGGCATTGCCACACGATGACACGGGAATGCCACATTGCTCCTTGAACCAGCAAGACAGATTCCAGGTGGGAAACTGAGGCCAAAAGAGGTTAAGTGCCTTGCCTACAGTCACGTTGTGAGAAGACTCAGGACAAGTAAGAAGCTGTCTTTCCCAAGACACGCAGAGGCCCCACTGCTATGTCCGCCAGACTTGGCAGTGAACAGGAATTACTCACTGTGGTATCAGAGCGAAGCTCAGGGGTGTCAGGGGTGGGTAGTGGGCAGTGGCAGAGGTAGCCCCAAGCAGAAGCCCCACCTCACACAGCTGTGCCCACAGGCAGCCAGCAGCCAAGACTATCAAGTTGGAGGAAATGATCTAAACGGGAGCTCCTGGGCTCCTAGCAGCAATACAATGTCCCTCAGCAACAGGCCGTTGTCACCCGACCAGGCTGCAGGAATGAGGCAGTGGAGAAAAACTCCACCTCCAGGCCCTCCTCTTCACAGGCCTGGCAGCATGCCTGTATGTCAAGGAGAAGCAAAGGGAACTGACAGTGCACCTCCTGGGTGCCAGGCACTTTTCTAGACATCATCTCACCTTTAGGAATCCTTTAGAGGGTGAGGAAACTGAGGCACATGCAAGGTCAAGGCATTTTCTCAAAGGCACCCAGAAAATAGACGGCAGAGCATAGGTGTGTCTCACCCCAAATCGTGTGTTGTTTCCAGCCTCTCTCCGTCAGCGTCCCAGACGGTCTTCCTGCCTCTGCCTTCCTAGCCGGCCATGCTGCTGGACTCTTCATCACCATCAGCATTTCTCTCAACATTTCAGCCCACACATTTGGTTTCATTTTTTTAATTTACTGTTTGGTTTTTAGTATAGTTGACACACAGTGTTACATTAGTTTCAGGTGTACAACATAGTGATTCAACAAGTCTGTATGTCATGCTGTGCTCCCCATCTGTCACCACATAGCACTGTCACAACACCATTGACAGTTCCCCGGCTGTGCCTTTCAGCCCTGTGACTTATTCATCCCATAACCAGAAGCCATTTACCCAGTTACCATCTCCCCTTCACCCATTCAATCATCCCTCCACCCCCTTCCCTCTGACAGCCGTCAGTTTGTTCTCTGATTTATAGGTCTGCTTCTGCTTTCTGTTTTTTTGTCTATTCATTTTCAATCTACATATCTTCATCATCACCATTATCATCATCATGTCAGCTTCGCTATCGCCATCTCTCCCGTCCTTATTTCGTCACTGTCATCCCTGCATCATTTTTGCCATCCTCGTTATCACCACGATCATTACCATCATCACTGTCACCATAATCTTCCTCCTCCTCACCATTCTCACCATCATTGTGATCACTACCACCTCATCAGCATGTTGTTCCTATATTAAATAAAACTCTCCGCTGGCTTCTCATTGCTCATTGCTCTGAAGATAAAGACTAAGATCTTGGTCCTAATACATGAGACCGAGTACAGCACATCCCTTGTCCCTGCTTCCCTCCCTCTTCAGTCTTTGTGCTCCATTTCACTTGCTTCTTCTCTGTACCTTGAAGAACACATGACCCTTGCTGCCTGGGAACATTGCTACCTCCTTACCTTATCAGCAAGCTGTCAGTTTGAAGGACTCTTCTGGCAAATGTCTTCTGACCCCTGGAATGGACCACAGCTATCTCCTTTATTTTCATACAGTGCCCTTATTTCTTTTATACTATTTACCATGATTTGTCTCAGTGTTTTCTTGTGTGAGTCATGTCTAACGTTGTTATCAGAATCAGCTCTTTGGAGGGGGTCCTGCTCGCCAGCACACCCTCAGTGCCTGTCACAGAAAGGGATCATGTAAATTCCAGGCTGAGGCTTAAGTGGCTTGTCCTTAAGGCCAGTGGCTTAGACAAGGAAAAGAGGTGGGGTAGATGTTCCAAGTGAGGAACTCAGTTTGAGCAGAGCCAGGAGGATGAAGAACCCAGCACGCCAGGGCCCTGCCTGTGGGCCATGTTGGCTGTGGCAGGAGGCGGTGGGGGGC